AGACGGATATTATATATATATATACTCTAAAACAGACTACAGAACCTTAATATTCATTCTAGAAAGATTGGACTACTATTATTTTTTTTAATTCTAAATAAGTGACATTTCTGCCAAACTAATTGTCTATATTTTTTAGTTATTGAGAATAAATACAATTTAAAATGTCTGTTTTTGTAAAGAATCGTTAAAAAAAATAATAGCATTCTACAAGATATTTACAAATAAATCTAATTAACAGTATTAAAAAAAAGTTGTTTGTCTCGTTATTGCAAAGATAGAGTAGTTATTTTTTTATGCGAAAGGACCGGGGTTCAAATCCAGGACGAGGACTAATTAAATATTTTTAAAATATTTATTTTATCTTAACGTTTAAATTAATTTTAAAATTTTGTAGGTTTTCGTTTCTGGGTCGTAGAAAAAATTTACTACACAATTGAGTTCCTACAGCGTCGTGCCCAAACTTCTTACACAAATTACTGTTTTTTTTTTTAGTTTTTTTAAATTAGTGACAATTATGTCAAACTAATTATCTTATTTTTTTATTAGGATAAATATAGTTAAAAACATAGATATATAACCAAGACAAATAGGATTATTTACAAAATTTTTGAAGAATGAACGGTGGTGTCCGCGGTAGAAACCCAATAATCGGATTGAACGTTGATGCCAAGTTTACGTGCTCTTAACTATAGATATATATATAACCAATACAGATTACACAATTTCTGAAGTCAACGCGGATGATCCTCGACAGAAATGCAATATTTGGATAAAATTAAAATATTGATGCCAAGTTTGTGATGTTTTTAACTGTAGTAATGTTATTGTGTTTGCTTGAATTACTGTTAGGTCATTAAATTGTCAAAAAAAAAAAAATAACGTCTGACAACAATTGTGGAGGGTCGTATATTGTTTCATTCATAAAAATTTCTTCGATACAGTACTAGTCCAGGAGCCAGTGAATTTTTTTCATACTTGTACTCCCGGTCCGTGTATATTTAAATAATCTATTCCCGGTGAACTGTATATTTAAAATAGAACGCCAATCTATTAACAAAAGTAAGCCAGATTGAATTCGCGCATTACGTCACATCGATACAAGTGAGATTGTTTACAAAGTGCCTTTGCAGGCCTATTTTTCCCATTTCATGTATTTGTTTTTAAATCATGTTAAATTACTATTTTTGAAACTCAACAAGGAGAAAATCCAATTAACTCTTCCGTTGTGTATATATATAAGATAAATTAACTGAAGTTTTATTAGTAAAGTATTAACACTAAAATTTTAATGTAATTTACAGAAAATAGCTAGGTATGTATTTGTTTTTAAATAATTTGATAATTTATGAAAAAAGGGAGTAAAAGTGGAATGACCAGTGGCCAGTAGGTCAGTCAATACAAAGTATCATATATTTCTATTATAACATAACGAAAATACCTACATCTTTTAATCATAAGGAATAAGTTAAAAACCATTTTAATATATGCATTAGAATGAAGTAATAATAACTTAAAGAGACGAGATCTTAAAGTAATAGCTGGTACAGCATGTTTTTTAAACGTTTCCTCATTGCTGCTAGAATAAAATCACTTACTATGAAATGTGCTTCAAAAACGGCATTTATAGCAGTCAATGTTCAGTCTTAGGATCTCTTCCTAAAGCCCTCATCCAAGCTGCATACATATTAAAAAATAATTTAAAAAAAAACATATTATATACCTATATAGTTTTCGGTTCTGGGTGCCCTAAAAGAGGACACTTAGCCGACAATTTGGCTCAGATAGCTAAAACCCAAAAGTCACCCCCGAACCAGAACGTAAACAATAACTACAAATAACTTACCTGAAAAATGAAGGCGTCTAACTTTACACCAAAAAAACCATACACTTTTTCCCATTGTTGCAAGCACCCGATGACGATTAGGTAGATATCAACTAGAAGCATGTACTTAATGGTTATAAAGCTTATTTTAACACAAAAAGAATAAAGCACTAGTCGAAAAGCAGCAATCAAATATAAATAGACCACAATATTAAAATTCAAATTAAAAACTATATAAAAGACAAATAAAAGTGCAAAAGATCAGAACCAAATAAAATGAATAACCATAATAACCTAAAAATCACACTAAAATTGCAAAAACTATTACTGTAAAATCATGAGATTACATCAATAATGCATATGCGTCGGAGTATCGCAAATGTCAAAAGTACAGTGTTTCCATGAAAATTTAGCTATGTTTTTAGCAGTATTATAGGACTATTTCTACCACGCGCATCCAGCGATATTGGCGTTCCACAGTTCACTGTATTTTCCTCACACCTCTAGTATAAATGATTTGACATAACGAAACTAACAATAATTATAATTAATGTAAAGTAATAAGTGATTCGTGAATTCTAAATAAAACAATTATTATATAAAAGTGTAAAAGGAAATGTAATTTATTTCCCTATTTTCTTCTGTAATATCTTCAATTATTATGTTTAATTTCTATAAATAAACCAACTGGTTAGATGAAACATTGTGATATAAATTATTTATTGTTTCGGCCTTTACTTGATGAAAATCCATTTAATTTTGAAAGAGTAAAACCAAATTTGGTAGATTTTCACACTTTTATTTTAAAAATTTTTATTTTTAAAATAAAAGTGTGAAAATCTACCAAATTTGGTTTTACTCTTTCAAAATTGTGATATAAGATTTTATTTATGTGTCCTATGCGTACACTTTAATATACAAAACACCTGGAACATTCTTTAAATAATTGTGGTCGTAGAAATAATTATGTACATAATTCGTTTGAAAGTGTATTTTATGCACTTGCCAAATATATTATCCATACAGATTAATCAGATTATTTTTTTACTTAACTTCAGTACATCTCTTACTACTAAAACTATTTTTATCAATGGAAAAAAAGGGCCATGTTCTCGTATGTTTTGACGCATTTTCGGCCTCAGCCCATCGGATACCCCCTCTAAATATATATGAATTTTGCTTAAAATTGCTAATCCTACAATTCTATATTCGTGCTTGCTGACTGGGAAAATAAATACCGAAAATCGTCACTGTCTCCTGGACTATACAATAGATGATGATGAGAACTTCACAACAAATACACTTTTATGAATGTCTAGTTGGGGATGTGGTTAAAAATGAGTGATTCTTATAACGAATCGATAAATAATAACAATCTATTAGATATTTATCGTTAATAGTTAAAGAAACCGAAAATTTTGGTAAAATTATAACAAAATGACCTAAACCAATTATTTAAGTGTAAATGTTAAAGATAAATAAATGATAAGTTATCGCGAAAGTTTAAGGGATGCGTTTTCGTACGAAAGGTCCAAGATCCAAATTCGGGTTGAATTTTTTTTTTCAAGTTTATTTTATAATTTGGTACAATCCAGAAATAATCTTTGTGTTAGGTAATTATTTTTAAAATAGTAATTTTATGTTAATAACCTCTGATTTACGTTTTAAAACGTTGTAGATTTTCTTTAGTGATTCGTAGAAATATACTATACAATAGGTACTATACAATTCGAGTGGTTTGCTAGTATCGCACTGAATACTTTATTGCATTTTTGTAGATCGTATGTTTTAAAAATAACACAAAATGGAACATACCGTAACAAAGTCAGTCTTCACAAAACTTTCCTATAAAAAATTACCTATGTATAAAAACAAATGCAATATTCTTTAATCAATCCCTTTATTATTTATTATTGTATTTGAAATTGTAGATGTTCGTTTTTTGAACTATTTACCCTTAATTCTGAAATATTTTCATTATTTTTAAAATTTCCTGTAAATCATACCTACAGTTAATCCAAAAAGTCTCCGTACACTACCTGCTTTATATAGAATTTTTCTGTTGCATTTAATTTATTAATTGAAACTACGAGAGAATACGATCTTTTCAATAACTGAAGCATAAAGTAACGATTATAAGTTATAATTACAATAAATGGACTGATTGGGCAGTAGAAGAACCGACAATTGGAACAATCTCTTGGGGCTGAGACAGGCCAAGATACTTCTGGGTGAATATAACCAGAAAAGATCGGAAGCCTGCATCTGCCTGAGCAAGAACAGGCTACGTATTGTAACAGGGATCCTTACCAGGCATTGCCGACTAAAAGGGCACCTAAGTAAACTGAGAGAAGTAGAGGATAGTGAGTGCAGATTCTGTGAGGAGGAGGACGAAACCTCCATTCACATCCTAACTAAATGTGTAGCACTCCAAGGGCTCTATATCTAGGAGGATATCAAATAAAAGAGGAAGATTTACCTAACTTGAAGCCACTTCAAATCCTACACTTCCTTGAGAAAATAGAATTGGAAGGGTCGTTATAGGCATTGAGACATTTCCTTAGTGCATTGACGACAGAAGGTGGCACAATAGATCTTTTAGGGTCGCAATGTATTAACACCCATTCTCAACATAACAATATGTATTTATTTAAAAAAATATATCTTTAAGAAAATACATTTTTTGTAAGAATTTAATTTTTTCTGTTTTGAGCCTTCATTTTAGCAACTGAATGGCAAGTGACAAACGACATAAACAAGTGACACTGATAATGACCTGTCATCGTATGGAATTTTGCTTTGCAATAAAAGTCGTTATTTTCAGTTAATTTGTTTTACTAAATTAGTAGCGTTTCATATTTATTATTATCCTATAAAAATTTGTAAAATTACCACCAAATAATATTTTGTTTTTGGACTCTGCGGCCCGCCTAGAGATATTTTTTTTAAAGTGGCTCACTGTCCCAAAAAAGGTTGCCGACCCATGCTGTAAATGATTCTCAAATAAATTTAAACCATTCTTTTGCCCAAAGTTGGTGTGTAATTTCAAACGATTGTCTGTTCATTAGAATGGTTACCCTGTGATTTTACTGATTTGATTTTGAATGAACTTTTTTGTTCAATAGAATACAAAACAAAAATAGTATAAACGACTAATATGTTATTTAATTTTCAGGGCCGATCTTTAAAAAGTGGTCATGAAGGTCACAGATTCATTAGAAAAACTGATAACCAAAGACAAAGACAACATAAATGAAGAACTTCTACTTAATGAGCCTATTGATAGACCTTTATCACAAATAGAAAAAACTTTTCTTCTGCATGCAGAAAGAGGCGATTGTGCAACTGTTAAAAAGTAATTAGTTTATTTTTGACACATTTTGTTAAAATATTTTTTAATACCTTATTATTTTTTTATTATAATATATTGGACTTTCTCTACTAAATGGCTGGTATCAATTGTTTAGACATGATTTATGTTTATTTTTTCTTTTAACGGAAATTCATAAAAAACAAATTTACTTCATTACAATGCAAGTACAAGTCGCAAAAATATATAATTCTTTACACCTTTGTCGAAACATTTTACCACATCAAAAACAAAAATACAGTATAAGTATTAGAGTTAAATATAAAAGTTAAGCACGAGAGTTAAGTATAAGAGCTAAGTATAAGAGTTGTTGAATCAGAACATATCAAAATAACATCCTGTATATCAAAGTTTAATTTATTTCGCCATTATTTAAACAGTTGAAAATAGAACGATTCTGGTCGGTGAACTTAAATACTGCAACTCAGCGAAAATATCTAGTTCGTTGTTTAATTAATTAGCAAAGATTTGTTAAGGACAGATATTTAAGAATGGAAAACCAATATGAAATGGTAATGGAAGAAATGAATACAAAAAAGAAAATTCAGGTAACACTCTAGACAGTATTAAATCCAATGTAGTATTACCAAAAATAAACTCGAAGATGAAATATCATTATCGAAAACAGGCAATATCTGAAAAAAAGTTTAAAGCTTTCAAGTTAATACAGCACTTTAAAATTACTGAAGATAACTATGAGATCGTATAAATACACTACAGAATAGAATATTAGCTTTACCAGTATCCAAACGAGAATCGCCAAATGATATAAAACTATTACATTTTGTAACCGCTGAAAGCCTTTAAGCCATAAAGAATTTAGGAGTCAAGATATACTATTGGGGTCCATTACTAACACGAAAGTGGGATTCAGACATTAACAGAATTTTTGAGCAAAGCCTAACCGAACCAAATGAGATACCACATTTTAAATATGTCATGAAGTTCATTGAAAGACGACTCCAATCACCAGAAAAATCTAGTACCGTTAAGAAGCCAAACGAGTTCTCCCATACTGTTTTAAAGCCAAAAAGTCAAGACTGCGTGTATTGTAAGCAGTTACATAGCATATATCAATACATATAATTTAGGACATTGGCTGATAGAAACCAATTTACCAGAAACAATCGACTTTGTTACAACTGTATGAAACAGATTCAAAGGAAAAATGTCATAGTTCACTCCGATGCCGCACATGTGTTATGTCTTATCACAGTATGCTGCATAAAGACAGAAAAAAGGTTTGCAGAACATGCTAAAGTTGCGAGACCTATTAACAGTTTACGATCCCATACCAATACTACCATAGAAGCTAGTCGTCTTCCTCAATGTGAACCTGTACCTACGTCGACACACATCAGAAAAGAAGATAATACAGTGTTAATACCTACGGCTATGGTAACGGTACAAACTTCTAATGGAATGGTCCAACTTCTACGAGTGGTAGTTGATCAAGGGTCACAGTCATCCTTTATCACCGAAGAAGCAGCACAACTCTTAAACTTACCAAGAAAAAGAATACGAGCAGACTCTCCGAAGAACCAAAAATGTCTAAATGGCAAATTGAAGCTTTAGTAAAAGCCCGATTTTCCATCAACCATGCTTTGACTGTACATTTACTTGCATTGCTCAAACTAACGTAAACACTACCAAAAGAATTCTTGCCAAACATGGACATTAATAAATGGCAAAAAAAAGCTCATAGCTGATCTAATCTATAGGAAGCCTAGTCCAATTGATATACTTTTAGGAGCAGAAAAATATGCCAAAATCATACTTCCTGGCCTCCAAAAAACTAAAGATGGTATAATAGCACAAAATACCGAACTAGGATGGATTATGTCAGGTCTCATTCAAATCGCTAAGTCGAACGATATAAAAGTAATAAGTACTGTGCGTACTGGAGAAGATAGTTAACAAAATTTTGGAAACTGGAAGAAGTCAATCCACCCAAATATGCGAAGCTCGAAGCCTACACTAGGCAACTCCAAGATGAGAGCTATGGCGAGATTGATCCGATTAGAGCAGAAACTCTCTCGAAACGAAAAGCTAGATATTGATTACAAACAGTTTCTTAGAGAATATGCAAACATGGGACATATGACTCAAGTAACCTTCAATAACCTAAACCTAGGAAAGTACTACATTCCCCACTAAGCAGTTATCAAGTAGTCGAGTACAACCACTAAACTAAGTAATATTTGATGCATCATCCAAAACTGACCTAAATACCAGCTTAAATGATCAAATGTATTGTATTTTCAAAAATTTTACTACGATGGAAAAAACATGCAGTAGCCTTTACCGCAGATATTGAGAAAATGTACCAACACATCAAGATACATCCTGACGACAGGGATTATCAACGCATTGTGTGGCGATGCAATATTGAAGAATATCAATTCAACACCGTTACATACGGAACAAAAACTTTTGCTGTATGCAGAGAGAGGCGATTGTGCAACTGCTAAAAGTAATTAGTTTATTTTTTGACACATTTTTTCAAAATATACCTAACAATTTAACCACATCAGAAACAAATATAAAAACAGTATAAGTATTAGAGTTAAATGTAAAAGTTATGTATAAGAGTTAAGTATAAAAGTTAAGTATAAGAGTTAAGTATAAGAACTAAGTATAAGAGTTAAGTATAAATGTTAAGTATAAATGTTAAGTATAAATGTTAAGTATAAAAGTTAAGCATAAGAATTAAGTATAAAAGTTTAGTATAAAAATTAAGTAAAAAAGTAAGTATAGAAGTTAAGTATCCAATATACCGAAGAAAATTGCATACAGCTTCATTCATATTACATAAATAACAATTTTTGGAGCAAGGTGCATGGTTACATTTTAAAGTAACCAGGGGCAGCTCGTGGCCAAAATTTTAGGGGTTTACAGTAGCAAAATATAGATGTTGGTGCAGATATAGGTAAAAAACTATCAGTGTTTTAGAAAGGTATATTGTAAACTTCCTAAGACACCGAAAGTTTTTTCATATATCTGTACTGATATCTATATTCTGTCACAGCGAACCCCCAAAATTTTAATCATGAGCCGCCGCTGAAAGTAACTATATGTAATATTCCTGTACACTAGGAATGGCACCATTTTTCATAGTCTTGACAAAAAAGTCAAACCTTTCTATGTTTAAGAACAAAGCTTCTTCTTCAACTGCGTCTTGGCTAACAAATATTCGCTCTCTGTAATCCTTAATCCTGTCTATATAAAAATATTTAGTCCCTTTACCACTTAAGCATACAATATTTTACTCATCTCCTTAAGCCTGAACATATAAGACTATTTTGATTCTTTACCCCCTAAGCCTGTCCATGTAAGAATATTTGGTTCTTTTATCACTTACGCCTGCTCATGCTAAAACTCATGTTAAAATACTTGGTCCCTTTATCCCTTAAGCCCGTCCATATAAAAATATTTGGTCACTTTACAAATTATATCTGTCCATGTAAAAATATTTGGGGCGTTTACCCCGAGGGGTGTGACACTTACATGGATGTACACTTAATCACAATTCGTTTCTAAGAGTAATTGGAAATTTTAGCATAACTGAAAAATAATTATTATAATTGAAAATAATGGTAACTAATTCAATTTAATTAATGAAACGTTATATTATACAATTTTTTTCATGATTTTCTGGTATTGAATGAATGCAACCTTTGTTTAGTTAAACAGTTTATTTTATTTTATTTATATTCACACTAATATGTTTTATAACTTAATTTATAATATTCGATTATATCTTAAATACTTATATACTTACTAGTTTACTTTGAAAATTTATCTAATGACAATAATATCTAACTAAATACTGAAATGGCAAATGTGTCACATATATACTAAAGTGGCCATCCCGACTGTTGTACAACATTTTAATCTAGTCTTGAAGCCGCCAGAATATTCTTCGTAATAGGAAAATGGAGGATGTAAGAGGTCCACATAGGGCAGAGACGGACTTATGGGTGTTAGATTAGGGCTGGACATTCCAATTTACTATTTTTAGAATTTATGATAAAATCATTTTCCTCTAACCAATTAAAATATCTAATTAAAAGTCCATGAATAAAATAATTAAATAAATAATTATCGAATAAAAGCTATAACAAATGTTCAAAATAAAAACCATTTTATGGATTTAAATATCCTATTAAAAGTATTTTTCTTTTTAAATCATATTATTTAATAATATTAACATTATTATATATCTAAAATTTGGCGGCTTACTTTTAGAATTTTGTGGCACACAACAATACCGCGGCATAGTGGTTAAGAATTAAATGTATGTTTCCTAGCTATACCTAAAAAGACGATTTATAAACTATCTCAGTTTTCAAACCCTAACAACACAACCTCACAACTCTGGATAATGATAATTATAATGGCACATTTCAGAGGCATATTAAATAATTAAAGGAAAAATTATTCTTACTTATATCTTCATATTACAGGAAAAACTAACGTTCACATTTTTTACTCTACGATACATGTCGTTAATTTACCGCGTTATTCACGACTGTAATATTTTTGTAAGTTTCGCCTATTTTTAGGATTATCGATGACTACAAGGACAATCCTACCGAATTCGATATAAATTGCGTAGATCCATTAAACCGATCAGCGTTAATTTCCGCAATAGAAAATGAAAATATTGAACTTATTAAACTCCTATTATCAGAAAATATACGAGTAAAGGTGAGTTTAAAATTTAGAACTTTTAACACGTTTTCAGGGTGGCCAGACTAAAATGAAACACAGACATTATCAGAAACTGCTTCAATATTTTAGATTAGAAGGACATTTTTCTATCATATCCTCAACTGTTATGTTTGACATATATGATATATGATACATGAAAATGCAAATTTGTGGAGAATTCAGCATTATGACTATTCATTGCCCTACTTTCTATTTTAGCGCCCTGTAAAATAAAACTGGCCACGTATTTTAAAGTGTGACACTTCATTTGAAGGCTAATTAAAAAAGTTTATTTTTAAACGTAATCAACCAAAATTTTGCATTAACAGTTACGTAATGCAAAGGGTCGAAACAAAAAGTAACCCAATAATAATAATCATAATACATAACAATAACCTATTCAATGATGATACGTGGTACTACCATGTCAGCCTTTTTGCATTATTTGGGCTTTTAAAACCCTTAGTATCTCCAACGTTAGAAATTCCTGTGAGATGCCTATTGTCGTCATCAGTCTATTGAGGCTTAAAATTCATAGTTCGTAATATATTGTACCTTACTATTTGTTATGTGTTGTTAAGTTAGTTGTCATAGTTTATTTGTACACATATATTTTAGAAAGAGACTTGTCAAAATATGTTTTGGGTGTGTCAGTCACAGTCACATACTTTGATTACTATACGGGGAAAGAGAGAGGTCCGACACGCCCAACATAGGGTGCGGCCATTTTGAACCCTATGACACAGTTTATACCTAAAGAATCAGATCGCTCACTCTGCGTTGGCACTTTTTATCTCAATGTTCCAGTTTATACACTGCGCAACTCAGATAATACAATATATGACAACCGCCTATAATAAAACAGCAGTCTTCTGCGTATCCTGAATTTGTATCCCTGGAGTGGATGTTATTTTGGAACTTTCAACTGGTCCGAGTGAGCTAACTGATTCTTTAGCAATAAACTGTGACTCCAAAAATAATATTCACTGACACTGACAGCAGCAAGCAAAATATCAGGTGCGTTTTAATCATCCGCTTCTGCTTCCGGAATTGTCGGTTCAGTCGTTCTAACCTGTCAGATTAAAACAAGAAAACCGACAATTCCGAAGCAGAAGCGGATGATTAAAACGCACCTATTAAAAATATTGCGCCAACATGTAGGCAACACGTAATAAGGGTTCAAAATGGCGGAGTTTTCTATCTCCTTTTAAAAGGCACTCAGAAAGCTGCGCAGTGCGATCATTCTCCGTATAGTAAAAGAAAATCAAAGTATGTGGTCACAGTAGTTTATTTTGTATATTTTATACTAAATAAAAACGTCTTTTAATCAGAATAAAGTTTATTTTTCAAGAGGTTATGAGCTCAGATGCATAAAGGAAACGTTTGAATCCAGCGAATGTATTTCGATTTTGCATGTGTTGAATAGCTTAAGAAAAATGGCCGATAAAGTTGATATTGGTTCAATAAATAAATTTAATGGGAAAAACTATCTTCAATGGAAGTGTCAAATAAAGTGCGCTCTTAAAGCTCAAGGCATTTATGAAATTACTAGCGGTGAAACAGTTCGGCCAGCAAGTAGTGCAGAAGAACGAAATTGGGTCAAACAGGACGCCGTCGCTATGTTCACCCTTACATCCACCATGAACCTAGAACAAATCTCATTAGTAGAAAATTGTACTTCCTCTAAAGGAATTATTGATAAGTTAGAATCAGTGTACCTACAAAAGACTGAAACCAATAAGATGCTGCTACATGAAAAATTCCATAATTATAAAATGGATCCGAAGGACACAACAGCACAGCACGTCTCTAAAGTAGAAAGTCTTGCAAGACAAATTAAAGAATTCGGAGAACAAATTAGTGATAACGCTGTCATAATTAAAATGTTGGATACATTACCATCTAAATTCAGAAACGTCCGACAAGCCTGGTTGTCGATGGATGAAAGAAAACAAACAATAGAAAATCTTACGGCTCGTCTCTTAGATGAAGAAGCACATTTAACAACCACAGAAGAAACTGATATAGCATTAGCCGCATTATCACTACAAAGTAATTATAGAAGGACATTAGGTTTCAGCTGCTACAACTGTAGAAAAAGAGGTCACTTTGCCCGTGATTATAGAGCACTTAAAACTATCAATAGAAATCATCACGACGAAAATGGAAAGAGTAAAGGTCATCCAAGAGGCTCACGTTATGTTAATAATTATAATAATCGCGACTTTAATAACAACATAAATAATATTGAAAATAATAGCAGAGCGTTCAATTCAAGTTCAACAGTCTTCAATGTAACTAATATTTCTTTCAATGATCATGTTTGGTTCATGGACATATCATATGTCACACAGAAGAGAATATTTCAGTAATTTCATTGATATTGAAGAAACTCGAGGAGTATTTCTAGGCAATAACATGAATTTGAAGGTTGAAGGAAAAGGAATAATCAAAATCCAAAAACTAATAGATGGACGGGTATGATGAATTAATTAATGACGTATTGTACATACCTGATTTAAGAAAAACCTTTTTTTCTGAAGGAGTCATTACATCCAAAGGTATGAAAATCATTAAAAGCGGTTTCGATGCCGAAATTTTTGATGAAAAAGGCAATCTGTTAGCGTGTGCAGTAAAAGAATCTAACAATTTATACAGAATATTATTCAGAACCATTGTTCCAGAGGTAAATGTTATACAAACTGATAACCTGAGAATATGGCATGAGAGATTGGGTGATGTAAATAAAAAAGTAGTAAAAGAAATGATATCAAAGCACATTGTCACAGGCGTAAATATAACTAATATAGATAAATTCTTCTGTGAGTCATGTGCTAAATTGCCTTTTTCAAAGAGAACAACTGAACGAAATGAAGTTAAACCAGGTGAAGTAATTTATAGTGATCTTTTTAGACCCATGGCAACACCATCTGTTGGAGGAGCCAGATACTGTGCCGTATTCAAAGACTCATATTCTGGTTATAGGGTTGTGTACTTCATGAAACACACATCAGATACATTGGACTGTTTTAAAGAATTTTATAGTTTGTGCAAAAACAAATTTGATCATAGTATAAAAATTTTGCAAATAGATAACTGAACCGAGTGCAATGAAGAAATAAAAGACTTTTTAAAAAAACAGGGTATAGAAATACACTGCTCCGTATACTCTGAAACAGAATGCGTGAGCTGAAAGAGAAAATCGAACCATAGTAGAAAGTGCTAGAACTATGTTATGTCATTCAAAACTCCCAAAATATATATGGGGAGAAGCAGTAAACACCACTGTATATATTCTAAACAGAACCCCAACAAAGCAAGCACCAGATTCAACATCCTACGAGATTTGAACAAGTAAAAAGCCATTTTTGGGCCTCTGTAAAATTTTTGGATGTGAAGCTTTTACACACATATCAAAAATAAAACGAACGAAGTTAGAGCCTAAAAGCATATATTTGTAGGCTACGATAGAAACTCGACAAATTACAGACTCTATGATCCAGAAACAAAGTAGATTACTATTTCTCGAAATGTCATCTTCAATGAAATAGTGTTAGATTTTATTAAAAAATGATTTTGTGAAAATTAAGATTCAAGATGAGATAACTACATACCAACAACAAATACCAATGGAAATAGTGGGAGAAATTGAAGAAGAAAATTTAGATATAGAAGCGGAAGATAGACAAATGTCTATAAATCAAAATTCAGACTCAGAAGTAGATGGAATGAAGTTAAGCTTGAAAAGAAAACTCAACGCACTAGTTAGATTTAAAGACAATGAACTAAATTTTGTAGAATACGATGTTCCAAACAGTTACGAAGATGCATTGAAAAGTGATGACAGAAAACTTTGGGAGAAGGTAATAAATGAGGAACTCGAGTCACTTTTTGAGAATGATACATTGGAATACACAACTTTACCAAAAGGCAAAAAGGCACTCACAAGTAAATGGGTATTTAAAGTAAAAAGGCCGCCCAATGGAACAATTGAGAGGTATAAAGCAAGGTTATGTGTGAAGGGCTGTCAGCAAAAAGAAGGCGTAGACTTCGAAGAAATCTTTTCACCCACTTCAAGATATGATACTATAAGAACACTTTTAGCGATTACAGTAGAACGAGATAACGAAATTAAGCAATTTAACGTAAATACTGCATTTTTATATGGGAAAATAGATACAGATATGTACATGAAAATACCTGATGGTGTAAACCATCCTGTTTAATCAGAAAAAGTATGTAAACTTAAAAGATCTTTATATGTACTACGGCTGGTTGCTGGAATCAGACTTTCAATAGTCACCTCATAAAACTTGGAATAAAACAGAGTGAAGCAGATAATTGCGTGTACTATGGACTTTATAACAACATGAAAATTATTATTATAATATATGTGGACGATGGACTAATTATTTCAGATAATCAACTAGATATTCAATATGTGTTATCAGAACTACAAAATACATTCAAAATTACTATCTCAGATGCACAATTCTACGTTGGATTTGAGGTTGTGTGTGACAGAAGCGAAAAATCTATTTTTATTCATCAAACAAGTTATATTCGTCAAATAATAAAACGATTTGGTTTTGAAAACTCAAATCCCATCAGTATCCCTGCAGATCCACACACAACTTGAATATGGAATCAAAGCATACCTTAAAAGAAATCATACAGAAACTCATTGGAACGCTGTAAGGCGTATTTTTAAATATTTGGAATATACCCCAGACTTTGTAATTTTATATAAGAGGCAAAATAATCTACTAGTAGGATATTTAGATGCTGACTGCGCTAGTGATCTCAGTACCCGAAAATCAATTACAGGATTTATTATTAATTTGGACAAGTCAAAAACAAACTAGCGTAAGTTTAAGTACTACCGAATCAGAATATATAGCTGCTTCTCAAACTGTAAAAGAATTATTTGGTTGCGACAGCTGCTATCCGACATGGGCAAAGAATTTAATGATCCATCAACAATGTTCATAGATAAT